CACTACTCTTGACATGCACAAAAGACAAAAATCATGGTCGTGTATCTTTCCATGTTCTACGGGAAAATTGACTCTCGTTTTGCACAAGTCCATAGATTTGCTCCCTGCCTCTCACGTGGAGTTACATGAGAAACAAACGACATTCTTCTCCCAAAAAAAAAAAAAAAAAAAAAAAAAAAACACACAAAAACAAAGGCAAAATGGCATTTCAAGCTCTGGACTACTTGCGATGTATTTACCCATGTCCTACCGGACTATTCAACCTCATTTTGCACATTTGGTGAGTAGTCGAGCGAGGCCCTAGATCTTGATAGCTCTTTTTTTTCTTTTTTTTTTAGTAAGCCCTGCCAACAAGGCAGGGTAGTCCCTTCTCGTTTTTTTTTTTCTTTTTTTTCTTTTTTTTTTCTTTTTTTTTTCTTTTTACAAGAAGACTCAGCTCATTTTATTCCGCACACCAAAAGAGAGGCCGGGAATCCTCTACAAACAACCCAGAAAGTAGCAGAAAAGGTAATTGTAGACGTCAGGGTGAAATACAGTGACCGACCGCCGTCCTGATACCCCTTCTCGTTTTTCATTACTTCGTTTGGGGAGAATGCTTCCGATATTTATGGGGAGATGCAGTTTCAAACTAAAAGAAAAACAAAAACAAAAAACAAAAAAAAAAAAAAAAGCGCCTGGAGAGGGCCTGCCGGCATTGATTGCTCTGGGAATCAGAGGATTGACTGAGCAGGTGTGAAGACGACCCGAACGTGAAACTGGGAGTAGCAGAACCTCATCTCCCTTTCCATCCCTATGCATGGTCAAGGTACCGGGAGGAGCCACTGGGGGGCACCAGTGGTTATCCTGCCATCTCCCTGCCATTCCTCCGAAACGCCTACCTACAACACTGTCTTCGGTCGCCGCCATCCACATTGACAGCAAAAAGAAGGTAGTGGACAAAAGAAACAAAAAGGAGGGCCTCGGTTTAGGTTGTCATAGGAAGCTTTTTTCTTTTCGTGGGGCAAATACGTTGATGTCACAACGGAGTTTCGAATCAGCGAAAAAAACACGCGGTGGAGAAACTAACAGCCGGCGAGTTCAAAACAGCAATGAAAGTACTGAGGCAGTGACAGAGGCACAGGTGTCATAACTACAGGCGCCGGCCGTGGTGCCAGACGGGAGAGGGAAAAACTTAAAAAAAAAGAAACGCCCGATGGATTTATTTCGACTTCAAAACAGCAATGAAAGTACTGAGGCAGTGACAGAGGCACAGGTGTCATAACTACAGGTGCCGGCTGTGGTGCCAGACGGGAGAGGGAAAAACTTAAAAAAAAAGAAACAAAGGCCCAAAGGATCCATTTCGACTTTTAAAAAAAAAAAAAAAAAAAAAAAAAAGCAGAAACGCCCCAGACCCAAATCTTCCACCCCTATTTTGAAACGGGAAAAAAGGTCACCCCTCAAACGGGAAACTGTGGACGGCGCCCTACGGTAAATTTCGAACGACCTGGACAAGCTAACCTGCACTATGACTGGTCTTAGGGACAACTGCGACCGGACCCTTTTTTTGCTTTCGGAAACCCCAAACGGACCCGTCCTAGCAACGCTGTACTGCACGACCTTACCCAAAATGGAAAGCACACGAAACGACGAAAATGCAACCCACACAAGCACAGCCTCCTGGCTGCAAACTAAATACGAACATGCTACTTGGTAATATGTTCGCATACATTGCGAACTGAGCTGGGGTAGCATTCTAGACCTCTTTCACTTTCGCAATCTCCACTCATCTCCTAGGTTCTCGTCAGTTCTTGCACACAAAATGCTGTTGACATCAAGACCTCATCTTTCTTTTCTTCTTTTCCTTTTTTCTTAATTACCAATTTACCACCGCCTTCTTTTTCTTATTTACCTTTGTTCCTTTCCCATACATCGGCCATGGGCAAGGCCCCATGAGGCCTCATGACTTTCAGAGGCCGGTTATGTGAAAACGGTCACCGATAAAATTTATTAACTGCGACCGCCGTTGGGCCCGGCCCCCAAAGGCTCCCAAAGAATGCGGTATAGGTTATACTCCCAAATGGGATACCAATGTGAAAGGTAGTGGTGGGTTTAAAAAAAAAAAAAACGGAGCCCTGTGGCTCTGGCTCCATATCCATTCTGGGGAGCTTCAGTCCAGTTCCTATTCCACCAGCAAGTCAAAGGAATACATCATGGACTCACGCCAACTCTTCTCCCCTTTATGGTAGGGAGACCCGAGTGGGCGGCATTGATTACTTCCGTCTTGGAAGGATGTACCTTTCCCTTCGCCCCTGCCTAAGTTAGCTCGTAGAATTTGAATCTGGGCCTATCCTTTGCCCTCTATCCTGTCCATACCCTCCTGCGCTCTTCTCAGCGTTTCTAGCTGCCAGCTATGGAGCGTTGTGTTATATCCAACCTATCCCCTTTGCTATGCTTCCACACTTGCTGGTATGGTTTTTCACTACCGTCTTCACCCGAATAGAACGCCCGGTCATTATAGCTGTATATTTGGCACAGTTTTTAGCCCAGATACGGCGATAATTACCGGGCGTTCTATTCGGGTGAAGACGGTAGTTCTAACTTCTGCTCTTCGTGTCTGCATCTGGACCACCATCATGCCCTCGTGACTCCTTATCTTGGAGCGGCCACGTGTCTGAAGACCTTCTGGGCTCTCCTATTCCTATTATTGATCCAAGTCCATGCTATCCACCTCCTGTTCTGTTGGCTCTAGTCTTCCGGGTCACACCATCGTTTAAAGCTGAGTCTTTTTCCTTTGATTTGGGCTATTTGCCCTCTCCTTTCAACCATATTTCCTCGAATTCTTTCTGTACTTTGGCTCCCTTTTGGTTGTCCAGCTCCTTGTCAGATCTTATTAGCTAGCACTTGCTTCCATTCTACCCTGATTTCTTCTTCCATCATCTTTTCTTTGGCCCCCTCCCAGGACTCTTGCATCTACAGCCTTTTCTTGCTCAGTGTCCGGCTGCATCTTGCCCTCCACTGACCCACAGGGTAGTCTTCCTCAAAAAAAGCTCCGCTATGTTTCTATCCTCCTCCTCCACTACCTTCTTCCCCCTCATACAACGTACGGTCATTATAGCTGTATTTAGACTGAAAGATACCCCAAATACATCTGTAATGACCGTACGATGTATTCGGGGGACGAAGGTAGGCCGTCTCTGTCTATTGCTGTCGATAGGAAGAATTGGTTAGTCAGGTATGCCATCGACGATACGTTACTCCATACCCTTCTGCACCTCCCTCCCCCATAACTCCTGGGCGCTTCGGCACTCGAGGGAGGAGACAATGGTTCACTGATTCTGTTTTTGTCTGTCCGGGCACATTTGCAAAGAGGAGACTCTTCCGATCTGTCCTCCTCTTTGCATCGCTTGTCCGGCCAAGCATTAACTGGGACCGCCAGGTGCATTATTAACAACAATTGTAGGCTCCGCACTCTCTCTTTGTGGTTTGATGGTAGCATAGTACGACCAGGGGATGGACTGGATCCAGCTTGGGTCTGTTTGTAAGCGTCTTTCTCATCTTGACACTATTATTACTTGTTATGGGTCCCGCGCTGTACTTCTGGTCCCTATATCCTGTTTTAACTGTGTACTCGTGGAGTGCTCTCCATTTTTCTTGGCCTTGCCTCTCCCTCTGTTCGCGTACCAGCGGCACTCTACCGGATCTACTTTAGATCTTTTATCTTCTTATCCGGTCTGAACAGCCATCGGATCTCCTTCTAGATCTTTTATCTTCTTATCCGGTCTGAAAAGCCATCGGATCTACTTTTAGATCTTTTACCTTCTTATCCGGTCTGAACAGCCAAACGGGCTTCTTCTCTTCCTTTTGCTTTTTCCGGATTGTGTGTTCCTGCTCACTTTTTAGCTCTCTAGCTTCTTGTAGTTTTAGTGTATTGAACTATAAGGCTCTCCTTTCTGACTTCTACTATTGATGTGCCTGTGGATTCCAACTTGTGGACTTTGAAACTTCCTCCATAGCTGGCAGCTAGAAAAGCTGAGAAGAGCACAGGAGGATACGGACAGGATAGAGGGCAAAGGATAGGCCCAGATTCAGATACTACAGACTATAACTTAGGCAGGGGTTAAGGGAAGTACATCCTTCCAAAACGGAAGTAATCAATGCCGCCCACTCGGGTCTCCCTACCATAAAAGGGAGAAGAGTTGGCGTGAGTCCATGATGTATTTTGACTTGCTGGTGGAATAGGAACCGGACTGATGCTCGCCAGAATGGATATGGAGCCAGAGCCACAAGGCCCAGTTGTTGTTGTTGTTGTTGTTGTTGTTGTTGTTGTTGTTGTTGTTGTTGTTGTTTGTTTTAAGTTTTAACCCATCACTACCTTTCACAGTGGCATCCCTTTGGGAGTATAACTTATATCGCATTCTTTGGGAGCCTTTGGAGGCCGGGCCACGTTCTTAATTACCACGGCCTTTTACTTCCGAATCCCAATAAATCTATACCGCCGAATTACGACATACGAACATGCTACTTGGTAATACAAACGCATACACTGCAAATAGAAATCCATACCTTTGTCGATCAGAATTCAACATCAACTCCATGGCACGCAAGATTAAGATCGAACAAATCCGTTACTTTGGTAGGACATCAAGCTTTACAAAAGCTTCATAAGATCGAACAAATCCGTTACTTGGTAGGACATCAAGCTTTACAAAAGCTTCATTCAACAGGTAAGTAATTTGGATAAACCAAGGCGGCAAATGATGTGAAGTTCGATCCCAGTTTATTAAAAAAAAAAAAAAAAAAAAAGTGCCAACAGACGACACTGCAGAAACCTGTTGTGACAAAAAAAATTAAAAAAGGCATGTCGACGATGTCGACCAAAAGGCCTAGTTCACTTGGGACGCCCATGAATTGTTCAAACTTCAAATGCAGACCCAAGTTAAAATCCAGATGCCATCAGATGAGCAGAATAAGACATAGCTAGAAAAAAAAAAAAAAAAAAAGGCATGTCAGCAGTGACCTACCAAGGCTCGGACAGGGATGCCTTTCTTCTTCAGAGCCTGAACAACCCGTCTTCCCAAACCGCCTGTTGCCCCAACCACCATAACCAACCCGTCCCTTTTCCTGTCCTCAACAGCACCGCCTGTTGTTCCCATATCTTTCGGTTGAAAAATGGAAGTAATTGCTTTGACCAAAGCCGAAACCGCCTGCCACAGTGAGCCAATCAGAACGGAACCTGCCATCAGGCTCAGATGTTTTTTAAAAACTGCATGTAGACTGAATCTTTAAACCTACAAAATTTACGATAATGAATCATCAACGATTCATCATCGATCAACGAGTTCGAAAACACACAAAAGTCTCATGAGTCTGAAATTATGAACAGAGTAAAATGCGAAGCTCCAATGCTGAAGGATGCAAAGTATTACAAACAATTGTTCCCAAACTTCGGGGGGGGGACCTTACGGGGTTGGCGAGCCACGATCTTAAGGGAGGGGGGGGGGGGGGGGAGGGGAGCATTCCTGGGTGGCGGTCAAGGTCGATAAGCTTGTTTTTCGCAAGAGAGGAGCTTGGTTGCTAAGTTGGACAAGAGAGAAGAGATTGGAGAGGGAAGGCGAGGAGAACAGGATCAAAGAGAGGAGGAAGATGAGCGCGTGGTGTTGCCGTCTTCCCTGAACACAACGCACCGTCATTATGACCGTACCGAACTTGAAAGACAGCTTGTATACATTCATAATGAGGGTGCGTTGTGTTCTGCGGAGGACGAAAGACGGAAGGCAGAAGCTCTAACGCAGATGACGTAAGCTCTAATGCCGATGGAACTAGTTGAATGAATTTCTGAATTTCCTGGGCCGGGTCAGTTCCACGATGAAAACAAAACAAAAAAAAAGAAGGGAGGTAAAAAAAAGGGAAAAAAAAAAAAAAAAAAAAAAAAAAAGGATGAGAAGACAAGGGAAGTGAGTGATGATGGAGTTAGAGATGAAGGAACAAAGAAACAAAAAAAAAGCGCGAGCCAGATGTAGGGGAGACTGTAAGCTGCCACAGGGAAAGCCCTCTATTCATAGAAACCTACATAGAACCCCATGATAAGGGGCCCATATGTAGTCAAAGAGAAATGCTCAGTGAACTGTAGGCAGAAAGGGAGAAAAGGACCAGAACCAGAAGATCTACTAGTAGTAAGATCGACATATCTATCATTTGTAAAGATTTCATGTCCAAGTGGATGGTGCCAGGTACTGCAGCCTGCAACAGGACAGAGTCAGTCATAACCCCTGTGTTTGAGACCAGATCAGGCTCCGAGAGGGACAAAATGAACCTTTGTCGTAATTTCCCCGAACCGTAAATCTACCTTTCATCGTAAGTTCTGTATCACCAATCTTCCTATCTGTATGATGACAGGATGATCATGATGCCTGCTTAGGCATGATGATCATCCTTTCCATCAGCGATCATCACCTCCATCAGCAACCATCATCAATCATCATCAGGTATCACCATTCACTCCGAATCATCATCAATCATCATTGTCATCAACCATCATCGTCAACCACCAACTGATTCAACTCTCATCACCCTCAATCATCTCATCACCATCATCAACATCGCACCCTCCCCCTCAGAGGCCGCCAAAGGGAGCCCTCGGGAAGATGGGATCTTGGCATGCTATACCGGGGGTTCTGAGCCTTGAAGCCCCCCCACAGATGAAGGACCAGTACGTCTGGACTCTGCAAAGACTGATCAGCGACCGTGGTCGGGCCTGGCTGGTCGGGCCCAAACGGTCAGCTGTGGTTGAGGCTTCTGAAAGAAGTTTGGGCTGATGGCGAGGTACAGCTCCGAAACATCAGCCCCCCTCTGACTATGGCAAGGTCTGTGTTTGGAAATCCAGTGGCTGCCAAGCATGTAATAGTAGTGTAAGGAGGAAGAGGACAGAGGGGGGCGGGCGGGTGAAGAAGGAGAGGGGGAAAGTGGAGTCAGTACATTGAAACTGGGTACCAGAGGAGTCCTCATTCAAAGGGAAGACCGTGGACTCTGAGGGACGGACACTACTTGAGCTCAACTCCTATCTCACTCTCAACCTCGACAATCTTTCAGGGACAAAAAAGAAAAGAAAAGAAAAGAAAAGAAAAGAAAGCAAAGCTGCGAAAGAGAGGATCTCACCACAGAAGACAGCCAGAGCAGGTTGCAATGGCAGCAGCGAAATGCAACCACCGATGAAATCAGGAGGCTCTCAAACTGCAGGTGAGTGGGGGGAAGTTTGTTGAAGGGTGATGGTTGCACTATGTGATTGAGATGAGCAAAGATGTACTTTCTGTGAGAGTTTTTTTAACTTTTTTTTACCTTTTTTTTGTTTTGTTTTGTTTTAAGCTGTCTTCTCCTCATTGGGGGACAGCTGTATTCTTTTTTTGTCTTTTCTGTGAGAGTTAATGCCTAGTACATCTTTGAAATTTGATGTCAAAGGGTGCTGAAGACCGCAGACGCCTACAGCTGTCAATAGGAAGGTTCCCAAGGTACCCTATATGATTATATCTAAGCAAAATAAAAAGGCAGGCAGGCTCCAGAGTGAGCGCTAGAACTGTTGTCCATGGTGAAGAGAGAGTAACATATGGAGTGGATTCAATTTTGCATTTCGTGACAACTTGCCGCAAGCCCCATAATGCCCCCCTATGATTGCAAAAAGACATTACAGGACAAAATAGGAACAGGGAAATTGAGGGAAATCGGGAAGGAAGATTTTAAATTTTGCTTTTTCGGAGTTTTTCCCGCCCCTCAAACCTGCAGCATTTCCTGATTTGCCCCTCAAAAATGCACAATTCTAAAATGCCCCTTTGGCAGTGCTCCAAATTTGCCAAATATCTATCGCCTTGATTGGACCAGACATCTTTTTGGCATGCCCCTTTTAGTCCCGTTTCAACTTTTCCAGATGGCCCCACCCGTCCTTCTGGCTGTTGGTCCCTGTCGTTGGGGCAAACAGTGCATGTACGGGCGCCATCATTGGAGGCTAAGGGGCATGGCAACAAAGTTGTGTGGGGGTCCCATGGGGGGCTGCCACAAAGATTGCTTCGGCAGGGGCTGTAAGGAATTTTGCATCTTTGAGGAGCAAATCAGGAAAGAATACCGCATCTTTGAGGGGAGAGTCAGGAAAGAATACCGCATCTTTGAGGGGCAAAACACAAATTTTCCCAATTGAAAAACACAGAGTCAAAAACAGAAAACAAAATCATCAGTCTGCCTCTCTCTCTCTCTCTCTCTCTCTCTCTCTCTCTCTCTCTCTCTCTCTCTCTCTCTCTCTCTCTCTCTCTCTCTCTCTCTCTCTCT